TCCCCTCCTTTACGTTTACAAGGCAACTTGTAGTCCGGCTCGAAGGAGCGCCGAAAACCGCCCGTAGCAAGGCGACGCAGAGGACGCGGGGTGGGGCGGCGGTCCGCGGTTACACGTCTAAAATTGCGCTTTCATCATTATCCCGGATAATTATCATGCGAGCAGAGCAGGGTCCAGCTGTCAGATTGAGAGATTAGGGGGAGCGCCGCTTAATTTGAGCGAGTTAAGAGTCGCTGCACGAGTCGGACACGAAGGCAGAGCATCGGAGACGACACTGATGGCCCCGGTGGAGGCTTGAGGGATCCCAGGCCTGCCCGGTCGCCAATCCCCGGTCGACACTCGCGTGGACACATTCGCACGCGGAGATAATTGGACAGTCGAGCGCAGCGCCGAAATAGCCGCCAGACAACATGATGAGCTTCGCATATCGTATTTTCCTGGATGAAGAACGGAACTCCATACCCAGGTTACAAATGGACCATGTTGAACAGAAAGGAACCAAGCCACATCGGCTTTTGCCAAATTTAATTGGGCAATTTTAATTTTTTTTAGTGTATTTTCCGAAGGAAATACACTATTTTTTACATGAAAACGGTCTTGCGGATTTGTGTGCAAATTTCAGTGAATTGTCTCCAAAGACAAGTCAAATTCATTAAAATTTTCAAAGGAATCTGCACAGGAAAGGTTGGAGGGACGGGATTGAAGCAGAAATGTTAAGGTGCTCAATCCCCCAAGATTTGTGGTTTGAAAGAGAGCAGTGGAGGTTAGGAGTCGTAGAGGGGCGACGGCAAACTGCCACCCGGGTGGCAGTTTTCAAGAAATTTGTATGAAAACTGCCACCCGTATAAATTTGAAAACTACCACCGGTAGTGAAAACTGCCACCCGTGTAAATTTGACAACTGCCACCCACATGAATTTCGGCGCACAGAGGGTCGAAGCGGTATTATGGGAAGACTGATTGTGAATCTCAAGCCNGCTCAGGAAACAACTTGACTGCGTTTAGCAGAAAGGAACCAAACCACATCAGCCATTGCCACATTTAACTGGCCAATTTAATGTTTTACGTTAAAATGGTTGTGCGGGTTTTGGTGCAATGTCAAAAAAAATTTCTGCATAGTACGATGCAAATCCCTTTAAATGTTCAAAGGAATGTGCACAAACGTTCCCTTGTTGAAAATTACATTGCGCGATAAAATTTTGCAATAGCTGACGTGGCTTGGTTCCTTTCTGCTCAACACGATCCAACCATGAATACGGCCCTAAAACAAAACATCCCCCCCTCCCCTCCTTTACGTTTACAAGGCAACTTGTAGTCCGGCTCGGAGGAGCGCCGAAAACCGCCCGTAGCAAGGCGAGGAAGAGGACGAGGGGCGGGGTGGCGGGGTCCGCGGTTACACGTCTAAAATTGCGCTTTCATCATTATCCCGGATAATTATCATGCGAGCAGAGCAGGGTCCAGCTGTCAGATTGAGAGATTAGGGGGAGCGCCGCTTAATTTGAGCGAGTTAAGAGTCGCTGCACGAGTCGGACACGGCGGCAGGGCATCGGAGACGACACTGATGGTCCCGGTGGAGGCTTGAGGGATCCCAGGCCTGCCCGGTCGCCAATCCCCGGTCGCCGGCCGGCCGACACTCGCGGGGACACATTCGCACGCGGAGATAATTGGACGGTCGAGCGCAGCGCCGAAATAGCCGCCAGACAACATGTTGAGCTTCGCATGTTGTCTTTTCCTGGATGAAGAACGGGACTCTATACCCAGGTTACAAAGAGGCCTGATGCAAACTTGAGCTGGAACAAACAGGAGAGATGTTTCTCACACAGGAAAACAAACACATTGGATCTAGAGTCCAAACTCTTAAAAACATCGACAAGAAAAAATACTCTTGATTCAATCAGATTTTTGCTTAATTCAAAAGGAAATCCGCTCAAATTAAGAGACTTGGTTCTTGATTTAAGCAAAAATCCGATTGAATCAAGAGTCCTTTTTCTTGTCAATGGTTTCAAGAGTCTGGGCTCGAGATACAATGTGGGTTTTTTTTTTTTTATTTTATTTTTTTTCCAGTGCACCGAAAATGCCTCTAAAATCACGATGAGTGCGTAGGGAAAGTCTGAAATGAGGGGTCGGAGGACAAGGCGCATAAGTGCAGTTTTTGAAAAAAATTGAAGAATTAATGATTTCAAGTAAAACTAATCGTCTCGACACATATTTTGTGAAAAATTCGCACCCTCGTGTTTTGTCTTCAACATGTTACGTAGAAAATAATGAGCTTGTTGCAAATTTCAGCTGGAGCAAATAAAAGAATAGTTTATCATAGAACTTTGCTCAAAATCACGATGGATGAGTCTGAAAGACACTGCTCCAAACTTCATAATCTGCGTAAGAAATATGCGTTTTTTTAAGGTTCTTGCTCCAAAAACGATACTATGGCACAGGTGAACATGTTGTATGAGGAGTCATTCCTCGTTCCATCCAACCCTTGCGCTCTAGGACCAGAGACAAGAGACCCTCCACTAGTATCTTGGCCATGGTGGAAGCTTTTACTTTCGGGACTTCAGCATTCTACTGTTGAATTACCTACATGGTTGATGTTCAACAACGTGTTGGCAGTTTCGTTTTGCAAACAAGCCGAAAATGGCCGACGTTTGGGAAAGTTGTTTGGCTCATGACGTCATCCGAAGCTCATCATCGACCATGTAGGTAAGTCAACAGCCGAAACTAGGGTGATGACTGTTGCTCCCTAATAATTGTCTATAAGGAATTGTTGAAACCCCGAAAGTAAAAGCTTCCACCTGTCGCTAGGAGGCCAGTGGAGGGTCTCTTGTCTCTGTCTAGGACGCTACACAATATTCAACATGGCTGACGCCTCCACGCGCAAATCGTGAGGTTCTTCATCAACGCAAGGAACATGTAAATATAAACAGGTCGGTTGATAACATCTCGTCTCGTCACGTATGTTTTGGCGGGTTGGTGTCGGTCAAGTCGAATATTGTGTAGCATCATAGTGCGCAAGGGTTGGATGGGATGACTCCTCCTATGAAATATTTACCTGTGCTGTAGTGTTGCTTTTGAAGCGGGACACTGGAAAAAAAACACATTGGATCTAGAGTCCAGACTCTAAAAAACATCGACAAGAAAATGACTCTTGATTCAATCAGAATCTAGCTTAAATCTAGAACCAAGCCTCTTAATTTAAGCGGATTTTGTTTTGATTCAAGCAAGAATCCGATTGAAGCAAGAGTTTTTTCTTGTCAATGTTTTCAAGAGTCTGGACTCAAGATCCAATGTGTTTTTTTTCCCAGTGGAAGCTTAAAAACGCATTACTAGGAGCGGTAGCGACCCCGTCAAGCCTATAGAGATCTCCAACAACGAAAATGGGAGCCGCTACTGTATCTTACACGAACCCGTTCAACTTTTGCGTTATTTTGAGATATCTCCGCAAAAACTTAACGAATATTTCTTACGCAGATTGTGGAGTTAAGACTGTCTATCAGATTTTCCCGATGCGCTCATCGTGATTTTTGAGACTTGTTTTATACCCAATATCTCTTCTTTTTGCTCTAGCTGAAGTTCGCAACAGTCCCGGTAAAATGCCACCAAACAAAGAACCATGATGTCAGCGGCCCGAGCGAGCGGTTTGGGACGAGAATCCAGACGTGCAGCCGTCTGAAAATGGTGAACATTGAACTTGGCGGGTCCGCGCAGAAAATCGTAAATAGTTGGTTTGGCGCGTTTCAATTATTTTGCTGTCGGTGCACGCGCGCCCACTCTCTCCGCGCGGGACGTGTCCCTCTCGCGTCCAACTCGGGGGCTCCGCTATCTCCGAACGTGACGTTGACGCCAGCTGCGCGGCCCGATTCGTATGCAGCCGCTAGCCCGAGAACGCGAGCCAGGTCCCGCTACCGAAAAAAATCCCGATTCCATCCGATCTATCGATTGATCTGCTATTTAAACCTATGGAAAATGATCGATAAACAGGGTGGTTGCTACGGACACCTCACTAATCGATTCTATACCACAGTTTCAAATGGGAAGATGTCGATAATCGATCATCAGGGTTGCCTCAGTCAGGGAGTACCGGGAAATGTCAGGGAATTTTATAAAGTCAGGGAAAATGACTAAAAAGTCAGAGAAAATTTGTTAAGTCACCTTCATTTGCTTTCTAGAATGGGTTCGAGGTTTCGAACAAGAAATACCTGAAAACTGTTTTCAATTATGTCTTCTTAACCATCCGTCACATATTCAATTGTCAGGGAATTTCACTAAAATTTGTCAGGGAAATCGGGGAAATGTTAGGGAATTTCATTTTCTAAATTCTGTGGCAACTCTGTATACACAACTTTGAGGTTCTAAAAGTGGTTCCATTGGGTTTCTCGTTAAAATGACAAAAATTTTAGAGAAAATTTGTACTTAGAATCACCTTTATTTGCTTTTACAAAGGGTTTGGGGTTTCGAAACACCAATTTTGCCTGAAAATTATCTTCAATGATATCGTCGGAACCATCCATCACATATTCAATTGTCAGGGAATTTCACTAAAATTTGTCAGGGAAATCAGGGAATTGTCAGGGAATTTCATTTTCCAAATTCTGTGGCAACTCTGGATCATTCTCTCTTTGCTACGAGATCCGAGTTAAAAACGTACGATTTTGTTTCTGCGCTAAATCACTAACACGCCACGATCCACGTGAGCGCTTGCTTTAGGGTTTTGTGTCGGGATTCGGGCTGAATCGATGGATTTTAAAAATCTGCTGAAATTGCACAATTCTTACCTTGCATGCGCAATTTCTATATTCCGATGTTGAACGAAATATGTGAAAACGAGGGAATTGGCCACTGAAGAAGGTCTGAATTATGAAAAAACGTCACATATTGTGTGTCCTGATATTTATTTATACACCTTTTAGGTGTATTATTTTTTTAAAATATTCAACAATTACACGTGACTTGAAAAGTGTGGAACTTTCCGTTAATAGATTATTACTATGTTTTTTGTTTCAGATCCGTAAAATGTAACAATCATGTTCACTCGCAAGTCAAAAGGGACGCAGTAATGGATTGGGCAATTTGGCCCCTCCTGCTCCTTAGTATTCTAGCATTTGGTAAGTTGCTTTCCATTTTGTCTCTCTTGTGAAGGAAATGTGAAAATTTATCATCGTTTACGTCCTTACTTAAATTATTTTTCTTTCTTTTTTCATTCGCATATATTTATTACGTCCCTATCAATTCATTAAGTTCGTCCTTTAGGGATCAGCTAAGTATTTTGGGAGATGGGCAGCAGGCATAGAAAATTTGGACGTATTTCTGCCAAACGGAATTATGTGCATTGAGACATGAGCTCTAAGACCTATAAGAATGTATGCATAACAGGATTCACGTCCTAATGCACATTGTTCCGTTTGGCAGAAATACGTCCATTATAACCGTCTACATTCTAAACATCGAATGTTAACTATGGCCGTATCAACATAATTACATAATACCTTACCCTCAACTTTTAAATAGTGCACATTCATGACATGTCGGCTGGTCCCTGAAATCTATAGACAAAGCTTTAGACAATGAATACTATGAAAAAATGGTGCTTAGAAACGCATGATTGCTGTAGACTGAGAGGGAAATGATGGACTAACTATAGGGTCCCGTCGGAGTTGCCGTTAGTTTATGTATTACCTCGTTGGAGCATTCCAGCCACCCGCTTCCACCAATGGGGTTGCTTCATTTTACTTTTGTCTTCCTTGAGTAAGGCCTGCGGGAGATATTGACGATTTGCGCATCACGGTGAGCGTCACGATGAACGGCGCGCCTTCAATTCGGATGTATGCAACCCGGACATCCGTCAAGTACGAATAGTTGCTGCATGGCGCCGCGCCGTAACCGAGCCTCTTTTTGATGGACGCGACGCAACGGCTCCGGCCTTGAAGTTTGGCGTAATACAACAAAAAAAAAAAAAAACAATTTAAGAAGCGCGTAAGAAGGCTAAAATTTCACGAATAAAACCAAAACGTGTCGGCTGACAACTCGGCCTCCCTCAGTTGGATAAAATAGTAAGTAAAAAGAAAAATTGTAAAATCTAAAATACAACAACATTTTCGCTTTGAAAGGAACAGCCATTACTATTTTAGAGTTTTACCATTTTTCTTCTTACTATTTTATCCAACGGAGAAGGGCTGAGTTTCCAGCCGAGCGTCTATCATCTCATGTTTGACGTGATGTAGTTTTGCGTTTCGACGCAAAAATCGAATCTTTTTCAGCGTTTGCGTGAGGTTCACGTTTATTGCACTCATAGTTTGCGTTAACGCGCCACGAGGCGCGTCATATTTGGAACGATCGCGTGAAACCCGACAAGATTCAGCATAGCTGAGTGGCTGCAAATGCATGTCGTTGCGTCTATTTGAAACGAAGTTTAGTTTGAAATCGTCTTCCACCAAGGGACTTTTATTTCCGGCTTATTTCAGAAACAACATATGTGTTACCGTTTGCAGGATTGATTTTATGTCTGAGCTAGGAATAGTAGTCTCATGTTGCAAAAATTAGGCCCAATTTTTGCGCTTCTTCTTCGGCCGCCAACAAATTGGGCAACCGACTAATGGAACAAAATAATGGTATTGCACTAATTGCAAACCATTTTTTGAAATCTATACTCTTTGTCGCAAGGTCAAAAGTAGAGGTGGGTTCGATGTTGGGTTTTGATCATTATCCGTACATTTATGAAAGCAAGTGTAAGGCCTCTTTACCTTGATTTCTTTTTTATCAAAATGCACTAAAATTAGCTTTAAAACATTTTAAAATTATAATGATAGTTTTTACGGTTTTTTTTTAAGTAAAATTGTCAAGAAGGTAATTTAAAGAAAATTGAATTTGCCATCGATGACAAAATCACGTTTCTCCAAATTGAAAAATAAATAAAAAGGGAACAAACTTATTTAAATTCCAAACAATTTGTTTTATTAATAAGCAACTTTCAATTTATTTTACTCCAAAAAAAATTCTTTAAGTGATAGAGCAAGTTTCTTAACCTCGAAAAAAGCATCCTAAAAGCAAGGAGAATTTTGTTTTATTTTAAAAACATATTTTCTAATCATTTTTTTCATTGTATAAGCAAGTACCTTAAGTATACCTAAGTCAGACTTCATAAAGCAAAAAAGATCCAAAATGAGTTTTAAAACCAAGATTCATCCACCGAACTGTTCTTTTTTAGGCGATACGTTGTCTCTGAAAACTCTCTTTGCAGATATAGATTCTCACGGTCAGTTCATTAACCGGTAGTTCTCAATTACCACCCGGTAGTTCTCGATTACTGTAATCGTAATTTCCCTGAATTTTGCCATCAATTCAAGTTGGTGCCGAATGATGTGATTTTCCCCTGTTTATTTTAACAGTCCCTCCTCTTCAATGAATAACTACGCACCGAGTGAAGCAGAGAATTTTTCCATCTAACTGGCAATAATGAGAGTGAGACGTGCTGTGATCTCAAATTTCGTCCTTGTCGGGTTTAAGTTGCTTGGTAAGGAATTTTTGAACCCCACACCGTCCTATAGAAAGAAAAATTGCGCGATTAGACGGACGTGGGCATTTTATTTGAATATCCTGAGTTTACCGGAAGGTGAAAGTATTGGAGGAATCAGCTTCGTCAATTCATTTGATTTATTGGAGCGGGCTGATTATTGAAATTGATAGCCAAAGCAATAAACAAAGAAGGCAAAAGGGATATGGAGTTGCCCTATTGGTGGCTGCAATAGACAAAGAAGGTAGATAATAGACTATATAACGGTAACCCACGAGAGACCCAACAGTAAGTCTATCATTTACCCCCTTCGTCCATATGAGTCATCCATTTCAACCAACATGTCCTTCCCATACTTAATATGTCTTCTTTATCTATCGCCTCGTCTATCAATTTCAACAACCGGCCCGCTGGCCTCCGAAAGGCCTCTCTTCTAATCTCGGTTGTTTCTGTTCCCGCAGATATTTGCATAGGCTGCGAACAATCAGAACCATTTCGATCAATGGGATCGCTGCGTCTACTTTATCATCGCTTTGTCTATCAATTTCAACAACCAGCCCGCTGGCCTCCCATAGGCTCTTCTTCTAATCTCGGTTATTTCTGTTCCCGCAGAGATCGGGACATGCATATGCCGTGACAAGAAAGAACGCCGTATGAACATTCGAGAGTTGCCAAATTTCCTTCGATAAAATGTTCATTTTTGAGGAAAGTCATGAATATATTTCCTTGAAATTTTCAGGAAATTTAAGTGAAATTACGAGCAAAAGTATCTGAAAAATCGAGAAGAAAATATTCATAAGTTTACTAGGAAATTCGTGTTCTATCAAAAGAAAATCTAGCAACGCCTGAAGGCTCATACAGCGTTTTTCCTTAGCACGGCAGCGCTGTCCTTAAAAAAACTTTTCTTTTAATCTCGGTTTTTTCTGTTCCCGCCAATGGCGTGGCATGCTTTGCGATATATCGATTGATTGGCCATTTAAACCCATGAAAAAGTATCGATAAACAGGGTGTTCGCAGCGAACACCTTATTAATCGATTAGTTACCACAGCTTCAAAAGGGGAAATATCGATAGATCGCAAAGCACGCCACGCCACTGGTTCCCGCAGATCCTATGAGAACCATCAGCTACGATCAATGAGATCGCTCCATACTTAATATGTCTTCTTTGTCTATCGCTTTGTCTATCGATTTCAACAACCAGCCCGCTGGCCTCCCGAGGCTCTCCTTCTAATCCCGGTTGTTTCTGTTCCGGCAGAGATCTGCAAGGGCTGCGAACTGGAGCTGCAGACCTGCACGAATGCCTACGAGGCGACGATGCTGGAGAAGAACGTCGGGGGCCCGGAGTCGAGCCAGGCCTACTGCGAAGTCCTGCGGAGCTACATCCAGTGCACCCGGAAGCTGAGCAAGGCCTGCTACACCGACATCACCTGGCGCTCCTACAAACCGATCCAGGACCGACTCCACAAGACCCACTGCTCGGGGAAGAGCAACGGCACGCACCCCCGCCCCAAGGGACCCGGCCGGACGACGACCCCCGAACCCGCGGCCACGCGGCCTCCCATCCCGTGCACCTACCACGGCAAGTCCCGCTTCCACTACTGCGGCCTCTTCGGCGACCCTCACCTGCGGACCTTCCACGACGAGTACCAGACGTGTCAGATCGGGGGAGCCTGGCCGCTTATAGACAACCCCTATTTCGCTGTTCAAGTCACCAATGAGAGGTTGCAGCCGCGCGTCCCGGCTACCGCGCCTACTAAGGTAAGCTCCCAGGGGTCCGATATTTTGGTCATAGAATGAATAGACTACGCCACGAGAAGCGAAAACCACCGCCATTTTTATGTCATCGAAGCGAAAGAGCGAAACTGAGTCAATAAGTCGTCACCTTCCAGGCAAAGTATCACAAGCGCCGTGCAACGTTTAAAAATTTCCGCCGCCATTTAATTTTTTTACTGAGAAATTGTTGGTTGAATCTGTTTGGAAATTTCACTAAATTTTATCGGCAGCACAAAGAAAATTCAGTGAAATTTTTGAACAGCTTCGTTGAACAATTTCTCTGTAAAAAAATATAATGGCGGCGGAAATTTTTAAACGTCGCATGGCGCTTGTGATACTTTGCCTGGAAGGTGACGAAGTACTGTCAGGGTGTTTCCAAGTCCGGAATTTCCGGAAAGTCCGGAAATAGTACTGATTTTTCAAGAACGGTCCGGAAGTACTGAAAAAGTGCGGAAATGTTGCAGGAAAGTCCGGAATTTTTTCATTTTTGTCGCAATTTGTGCGGGAAATTCAAATTTTGGAAATTTTTCGAATTTCGTCAGTTGATGGTATTGAAAAAGTACTGAATTTTTCTGTTGAGGACGTACTAAATTTCTTGGGAATGCACTGAAAAAGTACTGTAAAAGTATTGGTTTTTGGCCTGCCTGTTTTAGTAGACACCCTGACTGTTAACGTCTGCGACACGTCGACGTCCCGCAGAGGCCGAATGATAACGGATTCGGACGTTTTTAGAAATTGAAAGAGATTTTTTTACACTTGTTTACTGTTATTCCGGAGGAAACTGTAGAGTTGCCCAAAGTTTTATGTTTCTTTCCAATTTTATAATGGACCACTAGACAAGGTACGAATTTCAGCATTCTGATACATGTTTCTCAACCAAAATTTCACGTAGAACACGATGCGCACAACGAAAATTACCAAAATCAACTCCTGACGAAGATATTTAATGATTCTTGATGCGTGAATTCAAACCACCCGCTCATGAAAACTCAATGCTCTACGTGATTCACATCGCGCGCTAAACGTTATTATGAACGTCTCTGCGATGTAAAAATCTTCAACTTCAATCTTGACGCTTTGGCTCAGCTTTAGCAAATTGCCAATAGTTCGAACATCACATGGTGAGAAATGAACATTGCTTGATTGAGAAGCTTGCTGAAACCGTTGTAGTGCGCGATNGCCTCCCATCCCGTGCACCTACCATGGCAAGTCCCGCTTCCACTACTGCGGCCTCTTCGGCGACCCCCACCTGCGGACTTTCCACGACGAGTACCAGACGTGTCAGATCGGGGGAGCCTGGCCGCTCATCGACAACCCCTATTTCGCTGTTCAAGTCACCAATGAGAGGTTGCAGCCGCGCGTCCCGGCTACCGCGCCTACCAAGGTAAGCTCCCAGTCCGATATTTTTGTCATAGAATGAATAGACTACGCCAACAGAAGCGAAAGCCACCGCCATTTTTATGTCATCGAAGCGAAAGAGCGAAACTGAGTCAATAAGTCGTCACCTTCCAGGCAAAGTATCACAAGCGCCATGCAACGTTTAAAAATTTCCGCCGCCATTTTATTTTTTTACTGAGAAATTGTTGGTTGAATCTGTTTGGAAATTTCACTAAATTTTATCGGCAGCACAAAGAAAATTCAGTGAAATTTTTGAACAGCTTCGTTGAACAATTTCTCTGTAAAAAAATATAATGGCGGCGGAAATTTTTAAACGTCGCATGGCGCTTGTGATACTTTGCCTGGAAGGTGACGAAGTACTGTCAGGGTGTTTCCAAGTCCGGAATTTCCGGAAAGTCCGGAAATAGTGCTGATTTTTCAAGAACGGTCCGGAAGTACTGAAAAAGTGCGGAAATTTTGCAGGAAAGTCCGGAATTTTTTCATTTTTGTCGCAATTTGTGCGGGAAATTCAAATTTTGGAAATTTTTCGAATTTCGTCAGTTGAAGGTATTGAAAAAGTACTGGATTTTTCTGTTGAGGACGTACTAAATTCCTTGGGAATGTAATGAAAAAGTACTGTAAAGGTATTGGTTTTTGGCCTGCCTGTTTTAGTAGACACCCTGACTGTTAACGTCTGCGACACGCCGACGTTCCGGAGAGGCCGAATGATAACGGATACAGACGTTTTTAGAAATTGAAAGAGATTTTTTTACACTTGTTTACTGTTATTCTGGAGAGTTCCGGAGAGTCTGTAGAGTTGCCCAAAGTTTTATGTTTCTTTCCAATTTTATAATTGGAGGTTAACCTCAGATCAGGTTTCAATAAGTACGAAGATTGACCGATCCCGAGAAGAAAAATGTTAACATTGGTTCTTACGGAGCTTTCGCTTCTGTTGGCATTGTCTATTTATTCTATGTTTCTGTAGAAAGAATCTTTGGATTGCATTTTGCAAAAAGGAACCACTAGCATTGCAATGTTGCTAAGATTGTGCAACTTCTTTTGTCTTGGAGGAAAAACCCGATTATCCCTTTATAGTTTTTTTCCTAGCTAAAAACTGTAAATTTAAGACAAAAATTACCATCTAAATTTCATAGTTTTTCACAATTTCCGCAATTTTATTGCAAAGGATGAAGTTGCACAATCTTAGCATCTTGGTTCCATTTTGTAAAATGCAATCCCTTTGTAGTCTCAATGAAGTCTCTCGATGGTGGAACTGCAAAAATGCGTATCTCGATTTTGGTGTTGCAAAATTTCCGCTCCAACTTTTTTAAAGAGGAGACCGAACTTGCGCCATGGTTTGCAATTTTTACAGAATATTCTTCACATCGAGACGAAAATTCACCGACGTTTTCAAGAAGTGACGTTCGGTGGTTTTTTTATGTAAAAAGTAAAATATGATAGAAAGTCTGCAACGCCGCAAACCGATTTGCGCATTTCTGTAGTTTCACCATCGTGTTGTAGTCTCGATTATTTTCACTTTTTGGAGTGGTGTTCGAAATTCTTTTCTTAAATTTTCGTTCGGGAAAACTGTTGGATTTTTTTTTCAATACCTCGTATGAAAGTGATAAGAATCAAAATGTCCTCATGGCTGGGAGGGGTTTTATGACTTCTCAAAAGCAGTTTTTCCAAATTCATTCTTTCAATGTAATGTATCACTTTTTCGTGTACGTAGAAGAGGAATTTTAAAAATCCAATTATTTCTCTCGAACGTTGGCAACCAGGCAAGTGTCAGCTGACAGCCCCGCAGTGCAAAATCTCATCATATTCCGGGTTTTCCACGATTTCCCAATATCGAGCTTAATTTCAGCTTCATCTCTGAATTATATTTCTCACTTTTACTCCTACCTAAGCTGTATTTTAATTTTGCCCCCGTTCTAATCTCCCTCCATAACGATCCCGTTATTAACAACGATTTCCCCGAATATTATTGTATCAGACACGTGTGAACAATAATATACTTTTTCCTCAACTGGTAACACTGTTGCTTGGCATTTGCTCTTCGTTCATCCCCGCGATTAATTTTTTGCCAAAATTCCAGTGAATAACTAACTTGCCCGTCGCTAAATTCCAGTGATTCCCTTTTTTCTTTCGTTGTGAGTTTGAGTTTTCCCGTTTTCTTAACTCAACATTTACACCTATCCAATTTTTTGCATCTTAATTTCGATCGAGTTATCGTCGATGTGAATTATTCGTCCCGCCTCGAAAACTAACCTCAAAGTGGAAATAAACAAGGAAAATCCAAGCTGTGTCCGCACTCAACCTGGACGGTGATTTCGTTTTCGGTTTTTCCTTCGTTTATTCATACGTCTATCTGTTTGTTTTCTCCGTCCTTTTCTACCATTGCGAAGCTTCTCCGGTCTTCGCTGAAGCTTCGACCGACTTTCCTGGCGGATGCGAATTAGATAACCCGCCCCCAGATGGCGTTCGGATGAGGATGGGACCGGACCGCTTTTCCTCGTCGAGCGGGACGATGCGATTCTGAGTTCATCGGCCAGATGTCCTGCGATTGCAAATTCGCCCGGAATGGACGTACGTATCGGAGCTTTAGACATCTGTCATTCTGTCGCTTATTTGCGTATTTTTGCCGCTTCCTCCCCCCCCCCCCCNTTCTGACGCCTCGTTGGCATACGAATGAGTCCGTATTTTTTCGCGAGCCCCCATTCTTATCGGAAATCCGCGTTAATTTATTGCGTTTTTTTCAGGGTTGCCATAGGCACCCAGGAAATATCAGAGAATTTTAAAAATTTACCGGGATATCAAAGAACACATTGTTAAACTACCTTTAATTGAGGCATTTTTCGGGAAAAGGGCGTATGAGGCTTCCAATGCTGCTAAGCTTGTGTAACACGTAGTTCCTTAGTTGTAAGTGGACTACATTTTGCAATAAGGAACCACTATTTCTGGCTCATTTTAGAAACAACATATATGCCATTGATTTCCCTATGCAGATACGTGCTTTTATGGAAGAGCCAGAGATGGTGGTTCCTTATTCTAAAATGTAATCCAACTTACCCTCAAATTTGGGAAATTTTATCAAACTTTGTCGGGGAAGTCAGAAAATTTCATTCTCTAAATTCTCCCGGAAAAGTCAGGTGAATCCTCGTAAGATTAAGGAAGCCAAATAACTTAAGGTCTGCACGTAATGTTATTCGAAGAAATGTCCGAGTGCTCAACTGTTTTCCGTATTCTTGAGTTGTTTTACCTCCAGTCTATTTTCGGAATGATCATGAAAAAAAAAAAAATAAGCAAAATGTCAAACTTTCTTGGAAGTATTTTTTACCGAGATTCTGAACTCACTAGTGAAATCAGTTCCAAAATCGTTTATGAATCGAGGACAGAGCAGGATTAGCGCTCCTTGTTTCCAAAACAAGTGTTTTATTTATTTTTAGTTTATTATTGTTATACATTCGAGACTTAATTTTAGTGTGCTATGAATAATTCAGGAGTATCGTAGGTTTCTGGATCCCGAGTTCACAAGTCCAAGCTGTAAATCATCGTAAGATTTGAAGGTTGGTGGCCTCAACATTAAAATTTCCGAAGACGACTCACCAACTGAGGATCCCTCACGAATGGGTCGTGTCGTCATTTTTAACCCCCCCTCCCCTCCCGAATACCCCTTTCGGTTCACCTCTTCGACGTTTCTAAATCCACCGTTTCCTTTAACCGCACCAACTTCGTTAGATAAGTCAATAAAATCACAAGACCCCCTCGTTAAACTTATTGAAAAAGTAAATTAAAATATCCGGCGCGGAGTCTATTAGACCCTCGAGTTCGTCGATCTGAATATGCGTTTAGCCTTAGTGGGGAGTTAGGCACTATATTCATTGTGACATGGGCTCTGTTATGCATGTATTCTAATGGTTCTCACGGCCCATGTCAGGATGAATGCAGTTCCTCTTGATTTGAATACGTCCGGTTAGGGTTTCCTTCGTGTCAAATAAGCTCATCTTCAAACCAGTGTGTTACCGAGTCGCGAAAATGTGTTGAAAATGGATATCGGGGGCTGTTAAAACATTCCGTGATCCATTTTTGTCGATTTTGAAGGTCTTACTCTCAACATAGGGCCCTCTGAAATAGCTTTTAGGGGGATTTGGGCTTTTTATAGTAATGACTAAAGGCGCGACAATCGTGTGTCTCGTGATATGTCAACCTGGAAAAAATTCGTTAAACCTGAAAGGCTCGACCCTAGCAGAAAGCGCACTTTAGAACAATGCTGGAAAAATAAAGTTTTCGTTCTAAACCAGCGCCTGGAGGTAGAGCTGATGATGACCTAGCTAACACAGGGTGGCGTCAAAATTGACGGTATCAGTCAACTGAATCGGTCCAGCACATGAACTTGAGTTTGACTTCATTTTACAATAAGGTACTATTTTTGGCTCAATCATAAAAATAATTATAATAAAAAAAATTAAAAATACAATTATGAGTGCGTATAGCTAGAACTCTTCCCAGTAGTGAGGCGTGAATGATCGATTTTTATCGACATTTCTATATCTGAGGCTGTGGTAAAGAATCGATTATTAAGGTGTGGTGTCCGGTGCGAACAGCCTGTTTATCGATCTTTTTCAATAGGCTTAAATGGCAGATCATTCGACCCATCGCAAAGTACGCCACGCCACTGACTCTTCCCATCGATGTTTTATACATTTACGAAACGGATAGCTTTCGGTCTTACTGAGCGCCAAGCCGATTAAGACCTCTTCCTGATTATACGTAAGCTTTCTAGCAGTGGCGTGGCGTGCTTTGCGATATATCGATTGATCGGCCATTTAAACCTATGGAAAAATATCGATGAACAGGGTGTTCGCAGCGAACACCTTAATAATCGATTATTTACTACAGCTTCAAATGGGGAAATATCGATAGATCGCAAAGCACGCCACGCCACTGCTTTCTAGGAGTGGGTGGACAATTAATTTCGTCGGAGGCGCGAGATTACTTCGTTTAAAATTAAGAGAACCGATTCGAAACAAACTCGAATTCATTAACGGCCGGAGATAAAACGAAGAGACCACTCTTTAAAAAAAAAACCCCCGCTTAATCCGAGAGTACAGGAATAAAATTCAGGTAGTTATCCAGACGGCGAACGCTGCGTTGGAGCTGCCATGAAGAAAAATGCAGTATGAGCCTCCAGGTGTTGCCATATTTCCTTCAATAAAAAACAAATTTACAGGGAAAATTATGAATATTTCTTCTAATTTTCAGACAATTCGCTCTGCAATTGAATCTAAAATATCCTAAAATTTCAAGGGAGAATAAGCATAACTTTCCTAAAAAATACATGTTATATCCAGGTAAATGTGGCAACTCTTGAATGTTCATACGGCGTTTTTCCTTAGCGCGGCAGTCGTGGACCAGGAGCGCGTGACCAATGACCGAACTCGATCGGTAAAACCGCGCAACTGCTGGGTAAACTCGTTTTGGATACGTTGTTTTGCCTAGGCTCGGGTAGTGTCCCGGTGGGCACTTTATCTCGGCCGTTTGAATGAATGCGCTGGTTTTATTCTCTCCGATCGGAAATAAGTCATTCGCGGTCGGGAGTAAAGGGTTCGGCCGCGGTTTAATTGCCACTCAAAACGGAGCATCATCCTCCTCTAGGGTCTTTCTTGCCGTATCTATACTATAAGCTCCAAGACCTCCTAATTTTGCGAAACTGGTGACGCTTAGTTCCAGCGTTCTACCGGGCCGATTTTCACGATTTTTGCGGCTATCGACGGGCAATTGTCTCTAGATAAGCCAACTCTTTTCAGATTTTCAAAATATGGCCCAGGTTTTTTTATATTACGTGGTAAAGTTGCGAATTCTCCCATTTAAACAATGTAAATTTATACTTTTTGTCATAGTTCGTTTGAGCGTTCTACCGGGCCGATTTCCATGATTTTTGCGTAAATCGACAGGTAATAGGCCCTAGATGAGCCCGCTGCAATTCGATTTTGGAAAAAGGACCCAGGTTTTTTTAAAATCACGTTATAAAATTGAGTGAGTTTACAGAATGCTCCGGTACTGCTACCGCTATGCGCGGGAGGATGCGCAGTGGTCGAGGAGGTTGCGCAGTAGCTGTGTAGCCTGCGCATCAGCTCTACACTTATCTACACAAGATACGCGTCGACGATCACATGACGAGCGGTGGCCGAGTCGTCTAAGACGTCGAATGCCTCCGCTATGAACTCCGTGTGGGTTCGATCCCCGACTCATGAGGCGCTCATTTATTACCGACTATTATTGTTCATTGTTTTACTGCAATAATTCATCAAACAGTCATTCCAAAACGCGTCCTTTTAATTTTAAAGTAATTTTAAGTAAAGTTTGAAATTAAAGTATACCTCATATCGTAATTTTTTAGGGGAAAAATAAAACTAACACTGAAAGGAGGGTAAAAATAGGGCCGCGAAGCGGCCCATTGATGGCGCGGAGCGCCTTCAGGGGGTTGGGCCGCGTAGCGGCCAGGGGGCGTAGCCCCCTAGTAAAAAATACTGCTTCGTTCGGTCTTGCGGTGTTTCATTCGTTTCATCGTCCTTTGGACTTCTTGTACTACCCGAGCTTTCATTTTATGACATAGCTATGGCTACCTGCGACTATCGGCAAGGAATAATCTCTAGCTGACCCCTGCCATGGGTGTCTTCAATTTTTCGGAAGGGGACCCCAGACACAGGTACTTATTCGCCGCGAAGCGGCCAGATGATAAGTCCCCGGTATTATACGTCCATTGAAAAATATTAATGTTCTAAGGTAATAAAATTAATTTAACTCTTGGTGGAAAATATTACCTGTCACTGGTGCCGTTTGATTTAATTGACACAATTTTGTAAGAATGAAAACGTTGGTTAGTTTCGGAAATTTTAACCGACCACCTTTCGCTTTCTCTACTTTGTGCAACTGTTGACAACGGAATCGCATTGGTGACCGTCTAAAGAGCACATATTTTGACTGCACACGAGAAGAAAACTCGCAGTCCACGGAGACCAACTTTTTAGAAAGTAGTCCAGGCGGTCGGGGATTTCTTTCGGAAATTTTTTTAGAAAAACGACGTCCACGTCACTGGGAAAAAAAGTCTCTCGGGTCTGTAGTCCCGACTCTTAAAAAATTCGACAAGAAAAAATAATCTTGATTTAGTCGGAATTTTTCTTAATTGAATTGAGAGCCAAGACTCTTAATTTAAGCGGATTTCCTTTTGACTCAAGCAAAAGTCCGATTGAATTAAAAGTATACTTTTTTCCAGAGTACTAAACTTTATAAAGTTAAAAAAAAGGAAACCTCCAATTCCATCGATCAATTTTCGAAACGTGCAAATTTCTATCCCCTCCACCCGGTGAACTCTCATTGTCGTCGCACGACCCATTTCCTGGGCCGATGGCTTCGGTCGCCAAAGATGGCACCCGAGTCCGGTTCTTACTCGAGCTGCGGAAGCCAGAAACGGAGCATAAACCACGTAACCAACACACCCTTTCCAATTAAAGTTACGCGATTTTTGCTCTGTTGGTCGGGCCAAACGGCCAACAGGGCAGCTAAGTTTATACCACGTACAGATA